AAAAAAATCCTTATAGAGTAACATTATACATACACTTTTACATTCAGAATGCTGTTTCAATTTTTTGTGATTCTAAATCCCTGAATATGGTAGGGCAGATATTTTCTCCCATTTTATGAAATAGGAAATTAAGGCATAAAGAGGTAGCTTTTCCAAGATCACTTTTTAAATTGGTGAAAAGTTGAGATAATTCAAATTTTTAAGTATATTTCAAGTTTTATCCAGAATTACATTCATCATGTCATAAGGCCCCAATTTATTGGCTAAGATGAGTATATTGAAAAGACAGGGGCAGAATTGACTTGTTGGATTATATTTGGCAGAGACCAATAGTGTTAAACATGTGTATGGAATGTAGGTTGACCTTGCCTGTCTGATCTGTATGAAATAAATATCCTTGACTTTATTCCATTTTTATTTTTTTGAGACAGGGTCTCTATGTAGTCCCAGCTGGCCTTAGACTCACTAGGTATCCCAGGCTGGCCTTGAGCTTGTATTGATCCTCCTGCCTTAGCCTCTGGAGTGCTGAGATTACAGCCATGTGCTCCTTGCCTTTATTTTGTCTTTGTGGAGGAAGTGTAGTCACCCTCCTTTTATAGTACTGGGATTGAATCCATAGTCTGCACAGAGGTACACCTCTTGCCCAATTGATTGACTGAGTGATTGATTGATTGATTGGTTGACAGTCTTGCTAAACCATTAAGTGATACTCATGGGTTTTGCATTTATGATTGTCGTGCCTCAGCCTCGTAGAGTGCTGGGCTCATAGGCATGTTTCACCATGCCCAGCTGAAACAAAGTATATCTGACATACTAGCTTGTGCATTTGAAAGAGGGAAGGCTTTCTTAGCCTGTAGCAGAGCAGCTGCGTGGGTGCTGACAGTCTGACTTTATTTTTTATGCATTAGTGCTGAGGTTTGAACTCAGGGCCTCATACCTGCCAAGCATGAGCTTACTATTGAGCTACACCCCCAGCTGGACAGTAAATCTTTGGAAGGATCCTCTTTCATTCACTTAGTAAATAGTGTTTATTGAATTACCTATTCAATAAATGGTCCCTGCCTTGGGGTTAGAATAATAAAGATGCCATTGTTAAAATAGCCTGGGTGCACATGATAGGGGAGTTGTCTTGACAGTCATATGTATTAAGTTGAGTGAGCAGACAGCTCAATGTGGAATTGAATCAAAAAACTTTTAAAAGTCTATTCAACAGAGACAGGAGGATTTCAGGTTTTAGTTTAGCCTGGGTAGTTTAGTGAGACCTTGTTGTCATTATCTATTTTTATTTTTATTTTTATTTTTATTTTGTGAGGTGGAGTTTCTACGTAGTTCAGGCTGGCCTTGAACTCAAGGTCATTTTCCTGCCTCAGCCTCCCAGCTCCCACACCTGCCTTGAAACCTTGTCTTTTCTTTGTTTTGTGACAGGGCCTCCACTAGTTCAGGCTGACCTCAAACTTGCAATAATCCTCTTGCCTCAATTTCCTGAGTGCTGGAATTGCACATGTGCGCCATCACACCCAGCGGAGGCCTTGTTTTGAAATAAATTGAGAGAAAAAAAAAAGACTGGTGATGTAGCCCAATGTGAAGGCCCTGGGATTAAATCCCCAGCACTCTTCCCCCACAAAATTCTACTTTTTGGAGGGACTTTGGAGGGATATTTCAGACAATTTAATATGAAAGGTTACAAGAGCACTTAAGAATCCAAGCTAGGGGGCTGAGGATGTAGCAGCACAGTGCCTGCCTGGCAAGTGCAAGGCCCTGAGTTCGGTACAAAAAAGAAAAAAAAAAATGAAGCTGAGTGTGGTAATTGTAATTCTATCACTGGGGAGGCTGAGGCATAAGGATCACCATGAGTTTGAGGTCATGGTGGGCTACAAAGTGAATGAAAGACCAGCTTAAATTACATAGCAAGTTCATGTTTCAAAAAACAAATCGAATACAGTGGCCAATTTGTGATAGTATATACCATTTATTTATTTATTTATTGGCATTTATGAGTAAGCTGTTTTGGGGTATTTGTCATTGTTGATATATGTTGCCTTTGGATATTAGAACTATTTGGCTGGACTGAAGCAAGCAATTCTTTTTTTTTTTTTTTTAATGTATTTTACTTCAGGATCTATAGGGTCTCACTATACAGATCGTACTTTTAGTGATTCTCCTGTTTTCAGTCTCCCAAGTGCTGGGATTACAGGCGTGCACCACCACACCCTGGAGGTGGAGGCAGGGCTTGGCACAGCACGCTGGGGATCGAACGCCAGTGGATGTGTTCTGCCTAAAGGAATTCTTTGAAAAACTAATTTTTCTTTGTCTCAGGGAGTGTGCATGTGTGTGTTTGTAAAGACAGGGTCTCACTGTAGAGTTCAGGCTGACCTTGAACTGTGTGTGTGTTCAGGCTGTCCTGAAACTCATGGCAACCCTCCTACTTCAGCCTCCCAAGTGCTGAGGTTATAGGCATGCATACCCTGTTACTCCCAGCAGAAGATCAAAAGATTAATTTTGTAGTAAAAATCCCCTCTATTAATATGAGGGAAGAATGTTTGAACTAAATCATTTTAACTGTGGTCCTGTAGAAAATGGAATGTTTCTTGGTGTTAGAGTAGTGATTCTTAGTATTTTGGAGGTTTGGGGCCCACATCCTTCTGAGACTCTGGGGGAAGATAGACCCCCACATTAGAACATGACCATAAGTGCAGTCACAGAAATTTCAGTGACTTAAACTATAATGAGCTGAGTGTGGTGTTGTACCCCTGTAATCCCTGCACTTGGAAGGGCAAGGCAGGAGGATTGTCAGGCAGTTTGAGGCCAGCTTGGGCTACATGGTGAACTCAAAGCCAGACTGAACTATGCAGTGAAACCCTAAAAAACAAAACAAAGCTAAAATGAAATGGAACCAACTTATATTCAGGTCTTGTCTGCCCCTTACCCTAGGTTACGTTTGCTTAGGGGTGGAGAT